GTCTATCACTATCTCCTTTGTCTTTGTGTTTAGATGCAAGTTGTTTTCTGAGCACCATGTGGATAACTTCTGGACTTCTTCCCTGTATGCTAATTCATCTCCACCTGTAATAAGACCCAGTATGGTGGTATCATCTGCAAACTTTAATATCACCTTAGATGGGTCAAAAGATAGGCAGTTGTATGTGTACAACGAGTACAGGTAGGGACTCAGCACACAGCTCTGTGAAGAGCCAATGCTGAGCTTCAGTGAGGAGGATGTGAAAGACCCAGCTTTGTGGCCTGTCTGTCAGAAAGTCTTTAATCCAATCACAAGTGAGAGAAGGGAAATTCAAATCAGTCAACTTTTCGATGAGGATGTCTAGCAAAATGGTGTTAAAGCTGAGCTATAATCTATGAAAAACATTCTGAGGTAGTTCCCAGGTTTCTCTAAATGACTCACTACAGAATGTAGAGCAGTAGCAATGGCATCACCTGTCGACCTATTTCCTCTGTAGATGAACTGATATTGGTCGAAGTTTGATGGAAGGCATGGCCTGAGGTATTGAAGAACCAGTCTCTAGAAGCACTTCTTCATTACAGATGTTAGTGCAATGGGTCTATAGTCATTCAGGCTGTTTATTGCTGTTTTCTTTGGGACTGGAATGATTGTAGCTGCTTTCAGACATGATGGAACACTGGCTGTTTGCAGGGAGATGTTAAAAATCCTTAGGACCTCTGATAGTTGATTAACGCAGGTTTTAACCACTATTCCAGCACCCCACCTGAACATGCAGATTTATTAGAATTCATGGTCTTCAATACAGTTCTCACTTTGTGTTCATGCAAGGTGAGTGGCTGGGAGTTGGAGGACCGGTGGGCTGCGGCTACAGGGTCAGGTCTCTTGACCTCATACAGGCAAAGAAGGTGTTCAACTCTCTGCCAATGAGGCATCAGAGTTGACTGTCTTCATCATATTGCCCTTATAGTTGGTTAGATGCTGCAATCCCTGTTAGATGGGTTGGCACAGGAAAGGAAAGGCAGGACACAGCAGGACTTGTAAGCAGACTTTATTTGAAGCCAGTTCGAAAAAGCTGCTCAACCGCGGCAGGCGCCAGCTTTTATAGCTGGCGCTGTCCAAAGCTTCAGTCACTGATGGGACTTCATTTTTTCCACCAATGGCTGGGCCAATGAGTGGAGTCTATTAGCCGACTCCACTCTTTGGCCATATTTGGTCATATATAACACCCCTCCCCTTCTAGTTAGTGTTCCTCCAATTGGTGCTCGCCTACTGTACATAATCACGTAAGTAGGCGGGGCTTTGATGGGTGTGACTGGAGCTGTGCACCTCACAGAGAGGGGAGATCCGGGCAGGGGTCTGGGGGCATCACAACCCCCTTCCCCAGCCGGCTTAACTCCCTTTTCCAAAGGCGGTGGAGCGGCGGTCAGCATTAAGACATTTTAAAGTAACCTTTAATTTAATGTTAAGAAATAGTCTTACCACAATGCAACTGGATAATGGAAGGAATTGTTTTGGAACGTGATGAGTCCTGTTTCATTGTAGGGATTGTAGAGAACAGATGCAAGAAAAAAGTATAGTTGTTTAGAAAAAAGGAGTTATACGCCAAATTATAATAATGAAAGAAGAGTGTTCAAGTATTTCAGAGCCATTTTAACAGGACAATCACTTTGGAATATGAGTTTTCTCTTTGGGCCTATATATCTCAGGGATCAAATCCTAGTTAATTTTTTTTTGTCTTATTAGGAAATATCTGCAATCCAGGATTTCTTCTACAAATAATTCTGTCAAAGATATCACTTTGTCCAGGTATGTTTTATCTACCTCAAGGTTTTCAGCATACTCAACCCCTTTTTTTCTTTTTACCACAATATTTGATTGTTCTGTTATTCATAATTTGTACTTTCTCCCTTAACAAATAAATAAAATATAAAGTTACCAAATGGAAATGACACAAAATTGCTCTGGAATACATTCTGAAAGAAAAGGTGTCCCATCCTATCCTACCCCTCCCCCAAGCATTGGGATGGCATGTTGAGTATGTTCATTGTTTCATATTTCCTTTCTCCCACCCTTTCATAGGAGCCCAAGGGCAAGAGAGAAGCCATGACTGCAAAGGGAATCCACCTTCTCTGGATGCTTTAGAAAATAGCTTGACCCCCTCCTCTCTGTGGCAGCCCCTCAAATATTGGAAGACTGCTATCATGTTTCCCCTGGTCCTTCTCTTCACTAGGCTAGCCATGCAACCATTTATGGTATCTTTTAGCCTCCAGTCCCCTAATCATCCTGGTTGCTCTTCTCTATGCTTTGTCTAGAGTCTCAACATCTTTTTTATAATGTTGTGACCAAAATTGGATGCAGCACTCTAGGTGTAGTCTTACTAAGGTTTTATAGAGAGGTATTAGTACCTCACTTGATCTTGATTGTATCTATCTGTTAATGCAATTTAGGATTGCATTAGCTTTTTTGGCTGTTGCTGCACATTGCTGGCTCATATTTGCACCAAGGGAGGCTCATTTCAATTTCATTGTACACATGTTGTGCATTGTCAATAAACGTTTGATTTGATTTGATTTGAAAACTTCATTTATGATTTTCTCAATATCATTTTTCTTCTGGAGCTTCTCTTTTTAATCTCTGTCTCTCTGTCTCTATCTGTCTCCCTGTGTCCCCCTGTCTCTCTCTGTGTGTGTGCATCTCTCTCTCCCTTTGTATGTGTGTGTGTGTGTGTGTGTGTGTGTTTTCCAAGAATATATATTGTTCAGTGGCACACATGACAAGTTGTAACATGCACACACCAGCTCCACAAAGGTGAAAAATGTCATGAAAGTCACATGATGGCAATGTTGACACCATGAATTTGACACCTGTGGTATAGAACATAATAGTAGGGGTATTTCTTTTCTCCAATTTCTGAACAGTATACTTATTTTTGAATGATCTTATCATTTTAAAAGCTTATAAGGTTAAATTTCATTTATAATTCAAAATTGCAATTTTGAATTGCAAGCTGCTCATAATCATTGGTTGAGATAGCTAGCTATAGAACTTTAATAAAACAATAAAAATGCATCCTGATGTAGAGCAGATTATATTAACTCATTGCATATATTGTCTTAGTAATTCAACAAAAGGGCTCAAAGGAGACAGAGGAACCCAATCAGTAATCGAGAATTAAGAAGGCTTGGAACATTTGGAGTTCTCTGAAAATACATCTGCTTCTTTCCATTGTTCTGTCTGAATCTGAATCTTTGCCATCATTGTTGAAAAACCTGCTCATTAGTTTGTTGAATCTGGCACAGTGGTTGGTTCGGTTCAATAACTCTGATGCATTGAATGATGCATCAGAGTTTTTGAACAGAAGCTGCAAAACAAAAAAACTAATTGAAGAAAAAAGTCTCTGAATGTCCTGGTTAGCAAGATTTATGCCGATTAACAACAACAACAAAACTTTTAAATAACATCAGAAAAGTTCTGAAGACAAAAGGATTGTAATAAGTGCTGTTAATTGCAAAGTTATTTCCATTCCAAACATGGGTCACATAAAAATTAACACATTTATTCATGTCTCAGAAAATAGTTTAAAAGAGATTTGCCCGGAGAGGTATGTTGGTCCATGGACATCTGCCGATAATTTTCCACTTACTCTTTGTTTCAATATTGGTGGATTTAGTGGTGCTGATTTAACTCGCAGGATTTTCATACATTGTTGGAATGGATTACCCACTTAATTTAGGACATTGGCTAAATAGTTTCATAGTACCAAATATTGATTTCATAAAGCCCTTTCTCTTGTTAATATCCTGCAATAGAGATAAACTGATAATTACACTTTGATTCACTGCCTTAGATTCCATCTGATAGTTCTCAAAGGGTCACATTAATTCCTCCATTGTTTTAGGTTTCTGTCTGTCTTCTTTCTTCCTGGCTATTGTCCTCTTATGATTAATGCACTTTCAATTGCCCTCTTTCAGCAGAGAGATCTATCAGCCCTAATGAATAGACCAGTCTACAAAGTGATCACCAAATGAAGGCTAAAGTTCCTGTATTGAAATGGACTGTAATAAAAGAATCTTGCCTGATTGTGCTGCTCCTTCTACATTCTTCAACACTGTGACCAGGGCAATTTTGAACTTGTTCTTCATTATGTAGTTTAAGTGATGTGATTGAATCTTTATTGTGGGGTAATGAAAATAACTCCCTGATTATCTTATATACAGTATAAAAAAGTGAAATACCACTCACGCATCATCACAAAATCTCCAGAACTGTAAAGCCTACAAACTTGAAATTTGTTTTATTATTCATTATTATTTTCACATTAATTAATAGCCTTTTGTAACATGAATGATTTAGGCTGTCCTATGATGGATGAATGATATTTGCTGGATTTCATCCAAAGGCAGTAAGCATCAGAAAATGTGCTAACCCTCTGAATTCTCTCTGATTCTGATAAAATGTTTTGAAAATCTAACTTTAAAGTTTAGAATTGCCTTGGAGATCAGATGTAAAGATACAGTTTAAGGTCAATGTTCCTGAAAGTGAATATGTGGTCAAGGCTTAGGAAAGGGCAAGTTAGGCAGTTGGATTGACATATAAAGAGAACCAGAATATTTGCCATACTGAACTTCTTCAGGATATATAAGTTAGTTATAAATATGATTCCAGTGATATTTTTTTCCTTGAATTTCTGAATTGTTCTTAAATGCAGCCTCATGTAGGGTGCATTACATTAACTCAGCGGGTGGGTGGGTCATGTGGGCAGTGCAGCCTTGTGTTCCTACACAGCCTGGATTAATTGCTTTGGGAGGAGTGTTTTGGGGGGGATATTTCTCTGTGGACCACCAAAATTTTCTTGCGGACCACCAGTGGTCCCCGGCCCACTAGTTGGCGACCACTGGGATAGATCCAGTGTTACTATAAAGATACAGAGATTGCCATGATGCAGAAAAGACACAAGGAGGAAGTCAAACACCAGGAAATTATAACAGAAGATGATGCAACTTTATTTGCATGTACACATGTGGAGTTTACCAAGGTTATTGTGGCTTATCGTTTAAAGATTGATGAAATCATCAAGTTGTTTTCAAAAAGAATCAGATCAATCAGGAAGGCTATAAATTGACTTGGAGAATACTGATATTGCCAAGCAATGAAGCCAGCTCAGCTTGAGCATATGGAGATGTAGGAGAGCAGAACACATGAGGGAAGGTTGCCAAGGCACTGTAGAAAAGGATATCTTTGGTTCCACCACATTTCTTCCATTCTTTCAAGAGTGGGTAATATAGTGGACTGGAAGGCCCTTAGAGCAAGTGACTCGGATCTTCCTGATCTCACTTCTCCCTTGGTACTTGCAAAAAATTGTTCTGCGGTGGTTACTCTTGATGCAGATGGTGATCGGGAACAGGGTCTTGCTGGTCTGGTTGCCATCCAGTTTTTTTCCTCTGGAGTTGCAGATGGCAATCAGCTGTTCGCTGCTGGCATGGATGAAGGTGTTGCTCCGTTGACATTTCAAGCCTTTGCTGCGCATCATTCGGTTGCAGTAGTTGTGATCATTCTGAAGGTCCGTTTTGGGGTTGTCCACATGCCTTCTGATAAATTCTCTATAGGATGAAGCTTTGTTGGGGAGGCAGATGGAAGTATCTGGGAGACAGAGCAGGAGAAAGAGAGCCCCAAGACAGTAGGCCTTAAGAACCATGGCTCAGTCCTGAGACAGTAGCTGCAAAATATGAAATAAGAAAATAAGATAAAAAATAATACAAAGTCATGGTGACACAGTGAATTAGAATGCAGTACTGCAGGCAAACTCTGCCCAGAGCCTGGAGTTTGATCCTGGTTGACTCGGACTTCCATCCCTCCAAGGTCAGTAAAATGAAGACCAGATTTTTGGGGGCAACCTGCTGTAAACAGCCCAGAGGGTGTTGTAAAGCACTATGGAGTGGTATATAAATCTAAATTCTATTGTTATTGCTAATCCCCAGGTAAAATATACCTCTTACTCAGAAAACAAATTGATATTGTCTGCATAGAAGTATGTAGTTGGGTTAAAAAGCCATCACTTAAGTAATAAACCAGATTCCCCTATTCTTGACGTGTAACATCTTTTCACCCCCTCTGCTTTTTATTTATTTGGTAGATGTCTAGCCTGCCTACCTTGATTTTTTTAAAGATGTTTCTAGCTTTATTTTACAATTTTCGTTCAAGAGATCAAGTAGGCATAAACTATACTTTTCTTCCAGTTTCCCCTGTAACAACTCTTGAGATATTAAAGTTCAAACCATGTCCAAAAATGCTAGCCAATTCCTGGATGCCTGGCACTCAGACAAATCGGCCATCAATAGACACGTAGATATAAATAACATCTACATAAAGTACTGAGAGACGGAGGCCATAAATCATCCATTGAGCTTCTATGGCTGAGGTGGGATTTGAATTGAGTCTTCCAAATGCCAATCCAATATTCTAACCATAGTAGATCACACTGGTTTTATAATGTTGCTCAATTAAAAGAAGTTCTTCAAAAGCTAGAGCAGTCTGCCTAAAACAGACACCATCCATATATGTTGGACTATAATTCATTATAATACTGCCATGCATCAAAAGCATATCAGAAACCACCAACAGACTATTACAACCACATGAAATCAGCATAGTACATAAATCAACCAAAGCTCTCCAAAACACCCTAAGTCAACCAAAAGTCCTAACAGCCCCAGAAGAAGAAAAACAGGAGTTATCTACAACATAGAGTGTAAGACTGCAACAGCCACTACTTAGGACAAACAGATAGATATTAGCAGAACACATCCATGAACACCAATTAGCAGTCAGAAGACATGATTAAAACTTTAATTTCATGATGCGGACAGACTTACCCATGTTTCAGCTTCTGGACCAAGCCAAATCCAAAAGTACTAGAAAATTCCAGGACCCCGGGCACTCAAACAATATTGGCCATCAATAGACACAGTCATAAACAACATCTACACACTGTTCAAAAGAGACTATCAACAAGGACAAAAAAATCAAAACACATCTCCACCAGCAATCAAAACCCAGATGAACATAACACCAAGATTAACATCAGACTAATAATCAAGAAGTAAACAATACCCCAATCAAAGAACTGTGAAACATGCTAACAATAAACAATCCAACTGAAGAACCTCCAACACTAGGAGAAAGCTACTAGAACATAAATTGAGAGCAAACCCCATTTCTTACTAGCACTGATGATGTTACCTAGTTTGGGTAATGAAACATCTGTAAGAAAACAACCAAATCCAGAGATCACCAAAGACCGCCCATTTCAACTCTGAGCTCAAATATTCTCCCTTATCATTATCATTCCCATTACCCCAATTGTTTCAGGATGATGGATGTTGCAGTCCAACACATCAGAGGTGGTATTCAGCAGGTTCTGACCAGTTCTAGAGAACTGGTAGTGGAAAATTTGAGTAGTTCGGAGAACCAGCAAATACCACCTCTGACTGGAGATTTTACAATATCCTTCCCCTGCCACACCCACCAAGCCATGCCCACAGAACCGGTAGTAAAAAAAATTGAATCCCACCACTGTAACACATGTACAATACTCTAGGTTGAGTACTGTATACTTATATCCTTAGATATAAGATAGTGCTGTGGGAATTAGGTGTTCAGCAGAGTGATGGCATAGAGAAAAATACTGTCCCTTTGTCTAGCTGTTTTGGCATGCAATACTCGCTGGTGGCACCCCAAGGTGAAGAATTGAAACAGTTTATGTCCAGGATGTGAGGGGTATGCTGATATCTTCTCAGCCCTACTTCTGACCTACGCTAAAGTTTACTTCTTTTTTTTAAAAAAATCTAGAAATAGCTTAGTCTTAATACAAGCCAACCTAAACCAGCTCAGAAACTCATATGGACCAAAGCATATTTTATCTGTGGCCCTCTAAGTTCCCTTTTTTTTAGCTCTATAACTATGTTACTAACTTAACTGCAGTGATTCACTTAACAGCTGTGGCAAGGAAGGTTGTTAATGAGAATAGAATAGAATAGAATAGAATAGAATAGAATAGAATAGAATAG